TGGGTACAGTGGGGACAGTGGGACAGTGGTGGGGACCTTGGGGAAAGTGGGAGAGTGGGACCGTGGTGGGACAATGGTGGGGAGAGTGGGGACAGTGAGACACTGGTGGGGGCACTGGTGGGGACAGCGGGGACAATGGTGGGAACAGTAGGACAGTGGTGGGGACGGTGGTGGTGGGGACAGTGGTGTGGGGACACTGGGAATTTGGTGGAAACAGTGGGACAGTGGAGGGTACAGTGGTGGTGGGGACAGTGGTGAGGGCGGTGGCGGGGACGTCGGTGGGACAATGGGACAGAGGTACAGTGGGGACAGTGGCGGGGACAGTGGGGACAGTGGTGGGAACAGTGGGACAGCTCAGTGGGATAGCGGCGGACAGTGGGACAGTGGGGACAGTGGGACAGTGGTTGGGCCGTGGAGAAAGTGGGGAGAGTGGAACCGTGGTGGGGGCACTGGTGGGGACAGTGGGGACAGGGCGACAGTGGTGGGGGCACTGGTGGGGACAGTGGGGACGGTGGTGGGAACAGTGGGGACAGTGGTTGTGAGGACAGTGGTGCTGGGGCCAGCAGTGGGGGATGTGGTGCGGACGGTGGTAGGGACCCGGGAGTCGTGTTTGCTGGCGGTGAGCTTGGGGGGGGGGAGGGTTTCGAACCAGTAGTGACCCCCCCCGGTTTTCTGGACGGGGGGGGTGTTCGAACCCGTAGTGACCCCCCCCGGTTTTCCCGAGGGGGGGGGGGAGAGGGGGGTTCGAACCAGTAGTGACCCCCCTGCGGTTTACTAGAGGGGGGGGAGGGGGGTTCGAACCGGTAGTGAGCCCCCCCCGTTTTCAGGAAGGGGGGAGGAGGAGGAGGGGTTCGAACCGATAGTGACCCCCCTCTGTTTTTCCCAACCCTCCTTGGTTGGGTATTCGTTTTGAATAGAGCAGTGTGGTCGCGTCCTTCCTCCTCCCGCCTCCCGCCTCTTTCCTGCCTCTTTCTGTCTTGCCTGCGGGGGGCTGCGATCTGTGAAACTGTCGCCACTTTCGAGCCCTGCTGGGGGGCCAGCACAGTGAGGGCCACGGGCGGATTCAAATTAGACCTCGCCATCCCTGGGGGGCTGCGATCTGTGAAACTGTCGCCATTTTCGAGGCCTGCTGGGGGGCCCAGCACAGTGAGGGCCACGGCGGATTCAAATTAGACCTCGCCATCCCTGGGGGGCTGCGATCTGTGAAACTGTCGCCACTTTCGAGGCCTGCTGGGGGGCCCAGCACAGTGACGCCACGGGCGGATTCAAATTAGACCTCGCCATCCCTGGGGGGCTGCGATCTGCGAAACTGTCGCCATTTCGAGGCCTGCTGGGGGGCCCAGCACAGTGAGGGCCACGGGCGGACCCAAATTAGACCTCGCCATCCTGGGGGGCTGCGATCTGTGAAACTGTCGCCACTTTCGAGGCTGCTGGGGGGCCCAGCACAGTGAGGGCCACGGGCGGACCCAAATTAGACCTCGCCATTCCTGGGGGGCTGCGATCTGTGAAACTGTCGCCATTTGAGGCCTGCTGGGGGCCCAGCACAGTGAGGGCCACAGGCGGATTCAAATTAGACCTCGCCATCCCTGGGGGGCTGCGATCTGTGAAACTGTCGCCACTTTCGAGGCCTGCTGGGGGGCCCAGCACAGTGGGCCACGGCGGATTCAATTGGACCTCGCCATCCCTGCGGGGGCTGCGATATGCGAAACTGTCGCCACTTTCGAGGCCTGCTGTGATCCCCGGTTTCGAGCTTTATCAAGAATTATCAGGCCTGCTGTGCTCAGGAATTGTAAATCATCAGCTTTATCAAGCCCTTTTCCTGTAGCCAGTGTCCTGCGAGTCTCCAGAATTCCGTCTGCAGACATATGTAACCCTCGCTCCGTCATCGCCCCCTTATAAAGTATCCTAAACTATTTGCGCCCCGCTTTTGCGCAGGGGTTGGGTACGTCGCCAGGGTAATTTTTTTGGGGGGGAAGGGGTTCGAACCGGTAATGACCCCCCCCGGTTTTCCAGAGGAGGGGGGGGGTCGAACCGGACCCCCCTCGGTTTTCCGGAGGGGGGGGTTAGGCGAGGGGGGGGGGGGCAGGGGGAAGGGGGGGGGGTCGGTGGATCACGCTCTCTCGAGGCTTTCGATACTGTTACTTGGGCTGTGTGGTCTTGCCGTAGACTGTGGACCCCTTGGGCATGTGTGGGTGTCGACTCCGCGGCATCATTATTATTTAATCGCTTCGCTCATTCCGCAGGCCCATATTGCCTCGCCGGGCCGTGTTGGGGCCTCGCCGCTTGGTTCGAAGAAAAGATCGGCGCTTGCGGCGGGCTCGTTGTATAATTTGTGAGACTTTGGCGCCTGCGGCGGGCTTCTCCAGAGTCTCGCAGACTGCCGACGTCCCCTCTGCCTCATCACTCTTATCCGCATATGCGGGGTGCTACGTATGTATCCAGCTGCCTACAGCAAGTGTTGCCACCGTGCTTGGGTTGTGAGTTATACCTCTTGAGCCATCTTGGGCGCTTCTTGGGCTGTCTTGGGGCGTTCTTGGGCCGTCTCGGAGCCCTCTTGGAGGCTTCTTGGGCCGTCTTGGGGCGGTCTTGGGGGCCTCTTGGGCCGTCTTGGAGCATTGGAAAGCCGAAAAGGAGAGAAACGTCGCAGATGCGAGACATGTACGTTTTCCGAAGGGACTGGGACAATTGTTGCTTGTTGGGGCCCTCTTGGAGAGCCTCTTGAGGTTTTCTTGGGCCTCTTTCACGAACTCTGGGGCCATCTGGAGACCATCTTGAGCGTCGTGGAACGATCTGGCGGCGACTCGGGGCCTCTTGGGCCGCGTAGGGGCCGTCCCAGCGCTGTGGGTGGCGACTCGGCGGTATCATTATTATTGTACATGGGCCACTTCTCTTCAGCATCGCGTCGTGTTGTTCGAAATGATCGGTTCTGATGGTTATGATTGCCATCGTGTGGGATTTTTTGTTGTTTCTGGACGTTGGTCACAGTTAGACGTCTTTGTCTGATTGCTTGGAGTCAGGCGCGCTCTTGGTCGACTTCGACACGCTTGCGTAGTTGTATAAGTGCGCCCAGTTTTGCAATTGGTCACCGCGTGTTCGCCGTGACCGTATTATGCTGCTGCTTTTTTCTCCCTCCATCATGGCCCAGGTACTCATCCTGCGTATCGCCCTCCTCCTCCTCCTCCTCATCCTCTTCCTCCTCCTCTTCGCCCAGTGTACAAAGCCTTCTGTTTGGATTGCGCATCACACGATGGGATCACTGTGGGGGCCAAGTCGATCTAGCTCAGCCCAGCTGGCGTATGGCGCAATGAGAATGGATTGGTGGGAGGGATCGGATGTCAGATGTTCTGCGCACCTAGATTGTCCTCTGCCTCTCTCCTTTCATCGTGTTCCTTTTATTTTTCTGTTCATACCTCCTCCCTGCGCTTACTCCAGGAACACCGAACATCCTTCCCCCCTCCTGTTGTGAGGGCGGCACTTCTGTAGCCGTTTTAGTTTCGAACTGCGTTGGCTCATCTTGCCGGAATTGACCGCAGCGGGCTTCGACTGGGACAACAAAGCCTAACGAGTGACCGTGGCAGCAAGGCTGTCCTTGGACAGTCGAGATGGGATGCGGCAGCAGCAACGGCGGCCAGGCCTCACCCTCGGCGGGACCCCCGACCAAGCTCCCTCTCAGTGGCGTCCGCGTTGTGGACTTCTCAGGGGCGCCGACAGGGTTGGACTGGCTCAGGGGTGGAAGCAAGGACCTCCAATCGCCAATTTTCGCCGATCGAGGTATGAGTGCCCCACCTTGCCCAGGAGCGCGGGGTTTCCACATCGGGGGATATTGCGGATCTGTCGGTGATGTCTCGTCGATGTGTCTTCTCATTGGTTCCTCCCCCGACGTCGTGATGCTTCCACGGGGTTCGGACCGTTCCCCCGCAACCACCACTTCATCCTGAGCTGATGTTTCACGGCATCTGGGCCTTGTCAGGGCCGGAGGCCGAGACCAGTCAAACATCTCCCGCGATGGTTTCGCCACGGCGCAAGGATGTCAGTATCCCCCCCCTTCGGCTCCTCTGAACGTCGGGCAGTTCATTGCCGGGCCGATGTGCGGGAAGATGTTGGTGGACCAGGGCGCCGACGTCGTGCACATCGGGCCGCCCGGCGGGCCAGGGTGGAACTCCCCGGCGAATTCCGTGTTCAGCAGGGGCAAGCACCTCGTCACTCTGAACCTCAAGGACGCCAAGGATCAGGTGAAGGCCAAAGAGTACATCTCAAAGGCCGACGTCGTCATCGAGAATTTCCCGCCTGGCCGCATGGAGAAGTTCGGTCTGGGCGCAGAGGCCATGATGGCGGCGCATCCTGGCCTCATCTACATTTCTATTCCTGGCTTTGCTTCTGGAGACGAGGAGTTCAAGGACGTGAAGGCACACGAGCATGTCATTATGGCGAGAGCCGGAATCTTCTGGGACATGGGCATCTCCAGATCGCTGCGAGGCGTGAACCCGTCGTACTCGCCTTTGCCACTGGCGAGCTCCTTCGCGGGTGTCATGGCGGGCGCTTGTGCGGTGGCAGCACTCTACGCACGCGAGGACACTGGAATTGGCGATCACATTGAGATCCCACTTGCGAGCACACTGATGGACGCACTCTCCTTCAACACGCTTGACATCGACGACCTGCCCCGGCGATATTGGGGCAAGCGCACGGAGGAGTTATCTAAAGGCCTTCGACATCTCCTGCTAGACCCCCTGCCCGAGGCATGAAGGGACTCCTCATCTTGTTCCCCTGGGGAATGTTGTGGCCCTCAAGGGACCATCGTCGTGCTGTCCAAAAGGCGCTCCTTCTGTTGGATCCCTTGAGGTTTATCTTGGGCCCTCCCAAAGAAGGGGTAGGATACAACTGGTACATTCGCTCTCCCACATCACAGCAACATCCCCGAAGCCATTGCAGCGTGACGGCTCACAGCACGGAGGCCCCGCGAGGCTGTCGGATTTCGCCGCCGAAGAGACGGAATCCCAATGGACATGACTTTCGAGCAATGCGAGGATATGCTGGACCCTTTCTACAAGACGTATTACTGCAAGGACGGCAGGCCTTTCTATATCGTAGGCATGGGGCACCTAAAGCACGTGGCCCGCACCCTCGAGGTCCTTGGTTGCGAGGCTGAAGTGCTCGAGATCCTCCCATATGGCGACCTTTGGGCGAGGCAGCAGAAATACGAGGGAGATTCCGTCTTGGGGCAGTACCACTTGAGAGAGCCCTATTCGTCGAAGATCATCGCGATCTTCAAGGAGAAGTTCAAAACCAAGACAGCTTGGGAGTGGGAGCAGATCTTCGGAGCCATCAGGGTACCCAGTAGCGCCACGAGGACCACCAAGGAGTGGATAAACTCGGACCACGCGAAGGCCTGTGGCCTAATGATCCCTGCGCCGGCGACCAAGGGCGCCAAGGACGGCGTTATGGGCACAGGCTTCGGCAAGGAGATGCTCGTTCCTGGGCCCTTGGTGTGGCTCTCGGGGAGCTCATCCAAGGCGGGCAGCCACGCGACCCGTGCGGCCGACGTCGCGTCGGCAAGGAGGCCGATTCCGCCTGCTGCGGTGCCGCTCCAGCCTGCCCCCGCAAAGGGGAAGGGGACAGGCAAGGGCTACCTCCAGGGCATCAAGATCCTTGACCTGTCCAACGTCATCGCTTGCCCCATGGTCGGCGTGCTGTGCGGCCGCTTCGGCGCCGAGGTCATCAAGGTCGACATGCCCAAGCCAGCCTACGGCCCAGTCATTATGGTCGGCTTCGGCGTGCTGGCCATGCGCGGGAAGAAGAGCACGCTGCTGGACCTGAGCACCCCAGACGGTTACAAGGCGTTCGCGCGCCTCGTGGCGTGGGCCGACGTCGTCACCTTCAACGGGGTCAGCCCGCAGCTGGAGGCGCTCAACATCACCCTGGAAGCGCTCCAGAAGATCAACCCCAAGGTCATACTCTTCCACCTGAACAGCTATGGCGGCCCCAGGAAAGGCCCACGCACAGACCACATCGGCTACGACGACCTCACCCAGTCCACGACCGGCATCATGGCGCGCTTCGGCGGGTCGCTGGAGACCGCCGAGGAGCACGCGCACATCGGCACGGTGGACGTGGTCATAGGGGAACAATTATTCCGACGGTAGGACCCTACATGAGAATATGTTTCAATTGCCTGGGGATCTCATCCTGCCCCCTTCCTTCTCCCACCTACTCCTGCCTCCTCCTCCTCGTCCTGCCTGCTCCTCCTCCTCCTGCCTCAGCCCCTGCCTCCTCGTCCTCTTGCCTCCTCCACCACCTCCTCCTTTTCCACCTCCTCCTTGGCTCCCATAGGGAGGGGTAGCCCGAGAGGGCTCCGGCCTGAGACTTCCTCGCAATTCATTCACCGCCGGAGACCCCGCCTGAGACTTCCGCCATACTTACGCTTGGAGAGGCCAAACGTGACGACAGGTACAGGATTCCGATGACACGCTCGGATTAGTAACATAAGCTGCGGGCCCCATAGGGAGGGGGCTCCTGCCTGAGACTTCCTCGCAATTCACTCACAGACGAGGCTCCCGCCTTAGACTTCCGCCATACTCAAGCTTGAAGAAGCCAAAAGTGACGACAGGTAGAGGGTTCCAAAGACTCGCTCGAATTACTCACATGAGCTGCGGGCCCCATAGGGAGGGGCCCCCCGCCTGAGACTTCATCGCAATTCACACAGACGAGGCTCCCGCCTGAGACTTCCGCCATACTCAAGCTTGAAGAAGCCCAAAGTGACGACATTTACAAGATTCCGATGACCCTGTCGGATTACTCACATGAGCCCCGGGCCTGACAGGAATGGCGTTCCCGCTTGAGATTTCCTCTCAATTCACTCACAGACGAGGCTCCCGCCTGAGACTTCCGCCATGCTCAAGCTTGAAGAAGCCAAACGCGACGACACTTACAGGATTCCGATGACCTACTCGGATTAGTAGCATGAGCTGCGGGCAGCATAGGGAAGGGACTCCCGCCTGAGATTTCCACACAATTCACTCACAGACGAGGCTCCCTTCTAAGACATCCGCCGTACTCAAGCTTGAAGAGGACAAAAGTGACGACTGTTGCAGGGTTCCGATGACCCGTTCGGATTACTCACATGAGTTGCGGGCCCCATATGGAGGAGGCTCCCGCCTGAGACTTCCTCGCAGTTTATTCACAGACGAGGCTCCCGCCTGAGACTTCCCCCCCCATATGCAGGCCCCACGAGCTCAAAGTGAGGACAGTTATAGGATTCCGATGAACTGCTCGGATTAATAACATGATCTGCGGACCCCATAAGCAGGGGACTCCAGCCTGAGACTTCTTCGCAGTTGACTCACAGACGAGGCTCCCGCCTCAGACTTCCGCCATCTTCAAGCCGCAGGATCCCCAAAGTGACGACAGTTACAAGATTCCAGTGACCCGGTGAAATTATTCACATTAGTTGCTCGCCCCATAAGGGGGGGGGGGGGGGCTCCCGCCTGAGATTTCCTTGCCATTCACTCACAGACGAGGCTCCCGCCTGAGACTCCGCCCATATTCAGGCCTCAGGAGCCCAAACGTGACGACAGTTGCAGGTTTCCGATGCTCCGTTCGGATTCATATCATAAGTTGCGGGCCCCATAGGGAGGGGGCTCCCGCACGAGACTTCCTCGCAATTCACTCACAGACGCGGCTCCCGCACGAGACTTCCCCCATATGCAGGCTTCACGAACCCAAAAGTGATGACAGCTACGGGGTTCCGATGACCCGCTCGGATTACTAACATGATCTGCGGGCCCCGTAGGGAGGGGGGGCCCCCGCCTGAGACTTCCTTGCCATTCACTCACAGACGAAGCTCCCGCCTGACTTCCCCCATATTCAGGCCTCAGGAGCTCAAAAGTGACGGCAGTTGCAAGATTCCGATGACCCGCTCGGATTAGTAACATAATCTGCGGGCCCCATCGGGAGGGGGCTCCCGCCTGAGACTTCCTCGCAATTCACTCACAGACGAGGCTCCCGCCTGAGACTCCGCCATACTCAAGCTTGAAGAGGCCAAACATGACGACAGGTACAGGACTCCGATGACTCGCTCGATTTACTCACATGAGCTGCGGGCTCCATATGGAGGGGGCTCCCGCCTTAGACTCCCCCGCAAGTCACTCACAAACGAAGCTCCCGCCTGAGATGAGTGAGTGAGTGAATGAGTGAGTCAGTGAAGATGATGGTGGTGAGTGTGTAAATAAGTGAATGTGCGAGTGATGGCGACGATGGTGATGATAGTGTGCGTGTGTGGACGAGTGGGTGAGTGTGAGTGATGATGGTGTGTGGGTGTGAGTGATTGAGTGAGTGTGCAAAGGGAGAAGAGAGCTAGAGAGAGAGGGGGGGAGGAGGAGGAGGAGGAGGAGGAGGAGGAGGAGGAGGAGGAGGAGGAGGAGGAGGAGGAGAGATCCTGCGCGGAGGGTGTGTAGAGCAGACCCCAGTTGGGGTGTGGGGAGCAAGCGACATACACATACGGTAGGTTCGTGTCGTGTCGACCGGCGGCGACCCCGCCGCCGACGTTCAAGGTTGAACGCCGCCGGCGACCCAGAATCGATCGATGTTGAACGATCGGACGTTGCGGCAGCGGCCGATCGTTCAAGGTTGAACGATCCAGCGCGGTGTCAAAAACCAACGCTGGGGTCGGCACGACACGAACCTGCCGTACACTGTTTCGGAACTCCGCGCGGATCTCTTGCACCGGCGCTGGAGACCCCACTCTCCGGCGCGCGAAGGGCGCCAGCGGCGGCCCACCGCAGAAACAGGAAACCGGCGCGGAGGTCCGAGCGTTGATCCAAGACGCCCGCGGCGATTCCCCGTCGCCCCCTGCCAAACGTATGGGCAAAAAATTGCCAAAACGCTCGGGCAGACGTGGGCCAAACGTTGGCAATACGCCTACGCCTCTGTGGCCAAACGTTTGGGCAGACATCGGCCACGCGATTCGACAATCCGTTCCTTCGCCAGCTGTAATGGAAGCCCTTCGCCTTTCGGGGAGCACGTGGGCGAGGAAGAGGAGGATGAGGAGAGGGAGGGAAAAGAAGGACGAGGGAAAGGATGAGGAGACCTCTGGAGCTTCTGGGGTCATTGTTGGGGCTTCCGTGGGCCTCTTGGGGCCTTTGGGGGCTTTTTGGGGGCCTCTTTAGCCGGCTCACGGCGTTCCTGGCCCCGCGGAAGCCGTTTTGGGAGCCTCTCTGGGCCGTCTTGGGGCCGTCTTGGGGCGCCTCGGAGTCGTTTTGAAGGCCATCTTGGGCGTCTTCGAGGCCTCTTGGGCGATCTTGTAGCAATCTAGGGGGCCTCTTTGGCCGTCGGAAGGCCGTCGGAAGGCCGCTTCGGAGCGAATGCCACAATCCGTAAAAAAAACATGGAAAATCAATGATTGTGGCCTCTTCTGGCCTTCCTGGAGGACCGCTCGTAAGCCTCTTGGGCTTCTTAGGGGCCTCGTGGGCCGTCTTGGATGCATCTTGGGGTCATCGTGGGTTCTCTTTGGGCCATCTAGGCCGTCTTGGAGGCATCTTGGGGACCATCTTGGAGCCGTTGTGGCCAATAGGACCGAAGTGTTGGAACCTTTCCGGGTGGCCCCGGCGGCATCGGCCGAAGCCACAGGGGGAGTTGTAAAGGAATTAGAATAGCTAAAAACCTCCTGAAATCCAGCGAGCCAGGCACCCCTGTGGCAAGACCACAGGGGGCGGCGGATAACGGAAAGCGCGCGTAGGGTCGCGATCCGTCAGCCGAGAGAAATAACAAGGGGATGTGTGAGGGGGTTGGCCATTGAGGACCCAGATAACGGAAAGCGCGTGGCGTCGCGATCCGTCAGCCGGGAGAAATGACAAGGGGGAGTGTGAGGGGGTTGGCCTCGGGGGACCCAGATGACAGAAAGCGTCGCGAGCTGTTAGACGGGAGAAATAACACGTGGGAGTGTGAGGGGGTTGGCTTCGGTGGCCCAACATCTAATGGCTGAACTGTCTGCCATTTTCGGCCCAAGATGGCCCCAAGAACTCACAAGAGGCCCTTAGACGGCCCAAGAGGCTCCCAAGGCGGCCTAACATACCTCCAGGACGGCCTCAGGGAGGCCCACGAGGACCCCAAGACGGCCGAAGCGAGTCTCAAGACGTTCCAAGGGGCTCCAAAAAAGAACCCCAAATGGTAAAACTCGTCCCAACCCCTTTGGGAAAACGTACATGGTTAGCACATTTGCTTCTTTGGTCTGACAAGCGTCCAAGACGGCTCAAGAGGCCATCGAGGTGGCCCAAGAGGTCAAAAGACGGCTCCAAGAGAGTCCCAAGAAACCCAAAGAGAGGCTCGTCATGAGGATCCCGACAGGTTCCAAATAGAGCCCCAAGAGGGCCACAGGAGGTCCCCAAGAGAACCCCACGAGGGCCCCAAGACGGCCCAAGCCCCCCCTGACTGCCCAAATGGGCGCCAGGACGACCCAAGAGGACCCCAAGACGGCCCACAAAAGCCTCAAGGACCCTCAGGAAGGCCCGGAAATGCAACATTGATTTTTGCAAGGCTTTTCGCAAGCCTTAAAAACCAGCAGGGCTCCAAGACACTAAGCCAGTGACTTCGCGCCCACACAACGTACACACAGGCTCCCAAGAGAGCCCCAAGCGGGTCTCATGAGGCTCCCAGGGCCCCAAGAGTTCCCACGGAAAGCTCCATGGGTGCAGGGACTGGGCTGGCTCAAGGGGGTTCCAAACGGCCCAAACGGGCCCCCCAAAGACCCCACATGAGTCCGAAGTGGGCCCCATGAGGTTCCCAATATGGCCCCAAGAGGCCCCAAGGAAAGCTCCAAGACGGCCACAGCCCTCCAAGACGCCCTCAGACGTCTCAAAGGGCTGTAGGGACTGGGCTGCATGGGTGTGGGGACTGGGCTGGCTCCAAGACGGCCCAGAAGGTCCCAAACGTTGTCCCAGATGACCCCCCAAAGACCCCAAGAAGCCCGAGAGACGCAAAGTAATAGCATGGTGCCCAACAGAGAGCGGTGATATAACAAGCTCTTAACACCACGGCTCCCCAGAGCGCGGTGGCAAAGCAAGCTCTTAATAGCAAGGCTCCCAAGAGCGAGCGGCAACGAAAACGTATCCCAACA